GCAGAGATGTGGGATGGAGGATTAAACAACTCACCTGGTAGAGCATGGCGTAGTTCAAGCTGGCGGTTCCTCATCGCTATTTCTAGGACAGCAATATCTATTTGTGACGATATATAGATATATATAGATATAAATAAACATGAACACTTTAAAAAAGCATCCATCTCTTTTCTTTAATTATTATGCAGGGGGGTTATCAAGCACAGACGTCGCAATGGCCAAAAATACCAGTGGAGGCGATGGACAGGTGGTTGAGAGCTTGAGGGGCATCTCTGACTGTTGCCAATTTTGGCTGTGGTGACGGAAGGCTTGCAAAGAGTCTTCCAAACAGAGTGTACTCGTTTGACCTAGTTGGTACATGTGCAGAAGTCGTTGCATGTGACATGGCAAAGACGCCTTTAGAGGATGCATCAGTGGATGCGGCGGTGTTTTGCCTGTCCCTTATGGGAGTCAATTATGGCGACTATCTACGAGAAGCACACGGAGTTTTGAAAGACAGACGATGGCAGCTTATTCTGGCAGTGAAAAGTTGGTTTGATCTAGCACATGGGGGTCCAGATCCGGAGTTGTTTGTCAAGGCATTATCAAGATTGGGATTCAAAGTTCAAACTATAACTAAAACTTCGTAAAAAGGATGCCTCCAAAAACTTCGTAAAAAGGATGCCTCCAATTTATAACTATCAAGATTGTTTCTCTGTTTTGAGCTTCAGAAGGTCAACAGTGCTAGTGAGGAGAGAGGATGAAATGGCCTCGTCTCAAAGCCTGTGGGTATAAGAAAAGGTGAGAAAGGTATGTTACAGGCTAACGTCTTCACCCGAATAGAACGCCCGGTCATTATAGCTGAATTTCGTGCAACTTTCGGTCTAGGTACAGCGATAATGACCGGGCGTTCTATTCGGGTGCTGCACGTTGCCCCACTCCGCACACAGAGAGAAATCCACCTTTTTTTTTTTTTTTTTTTTTTTTTTTTGGCTGTGTTTAGCAATTGTCGGACTGCATAGGCTGCGGGGAATGCTTTCAGCAAGATCAATCTCGCAGCAGGACGGCGACCCTCCAGTTAGCAGCAGTTTGCGTTCACAGAGTTACTGTTGTATATAGGTACTTTGAAGCAAGACAAGCCACTCTAATGTGCCTTTGTGAATTACCGAGCAGTTTGTAACCATCAAGACTGTGCTTACTGCCGTGTCGTCCAGAGGTGTGGATTTCTATTTTTCTTGGAAAAGGGATTTGTGAAATCAGTCTTGCAAATTCACACTCAAACATGCATGCAACAGATGAGAATAACTTGGCGCTGTGCACCCAACTCAAACTCGGAGATATGGTAGCTTGCAACTCAACTCAAATCCAAGTTTACTTCAGTTG